CCGAAACGAAACGTACTAGTTGCTTCCTACTTCTACATCAAATGACCGGAGGCTATTTTGTGTGGGGATACCGCTGCAGCTTCGTTTTTCAAACGGCTCCGCTGCTTATTCGCAAGCTCTGTGTTGCTAAAAGAAAGTCACTGCAAATGGGCCTCAGTTCCGAAGCCATGATTATGCCGATTTCCTAGGGCTGGGATCAGACACACAACAGCGGTACCGTACAATCCTGCCTCTAGTGGTCTGGTTGTATGTCTCGGCCACACTTTGAAAGTGTCTTTACAAGTTCTTCAGCTTTTGGGTGCATCTCGGGACAATGCGTTGTGAATGAATCCGTCTTATTAATTCAATTCTCTTTTGGTTCCAAACAACGTTCTCATAGTAAAGAAGGATCACAAACTTGACGGAGTACCAGAAAGAATTCGGCGATTGTTTGAACCGTCAACCTGGTCCACAAGTGCAGAACTGTTTGTGGGTTCGCTAATGGTGTAAGTTGCTCGTATCGAAAGACCATGTTTGCAGTTACTGATGAAGCCGAGAAATGAGAACTACTTGCGAGTCCCGATAGGATGAAAATTCCGCAAACGACTTTCGGAAATCTACAACAAAAGTCCTCTGCTCACAAGCAACATGAAGATTTGACTGATGTAACCACCTGATCCAGACTAGGTAATGGCAAAATTAAGCATCAACAGTACGCCGACACGTTGTGTCTACGCTTCGCTGGCACGCGACCACCACCGATCGTGCGTGGTCTGGATATTCGCGGAGTCGCCCGCACCTGCGCGAGTTCAAGCCAGTGATTTCCGGATCACTGGGCAAGCGCGTAATTCTTTCGGCCACCTACCGACTAGAGAACAAACTGGATTTCTCCTCATCAGCGGTATAGGGTATCTTAGTGAAGGGTGTGTCCCTCGCCTGAATGGACGCTTGATTCCAAATCAGAACGCGAAGTCGCTGGCTCTCTGTTCGCCCTAATCAGGGCGGGTGAGTTTGGATCGGCTGCCGCGGTGATGGGGTCCTGGCTTGTTCGCATCGCGTATTCCTTCCTAATACTTAGTGACGGAAGCAATGCGGTTGTACAGTGAGGAGAAGAATTGTGCAATACGCATGTACAAGCCGGCATTTTCAATGTTTATGAACGCGAGGTAAAGGTGCTTGTGACTTCCTAGCCGAGGTTATTACTTACACCGCACTTTGTCCTGGTCGACTCATGTCGAAACCATAAATGTACATAACACATTTCAGACAACCATTGGAATATGGAACCAACTGTAGATGCGTCCTATCCAGATTGATGAGTTTGGTCGTACCCGTCAGCAAGAAATTATGCTTTTGTATGGACGGCGTGGGTATCGTGCAGACATCATGGATAAGTTTGGTGCGCGCACATTTGAAACATACCCAGAGTAGCATGACTGTGCAACGCCTCATGGCCTACCAATAGGTAGGGATATTTTTCACTAAACCCGTTTGCGTCGCATAGTACAAAGGTGAGCCCCAGCGATTACGTTTGCAAACATTAATGCAACAGACCCACGCTTCAGTGGGAATCACTGAGCTTCAAGCACCGAAAGGTGGTTGTCTACGCTGTGCTTCCAATGATATTGAAATGCGTAGTGAGCGAAAGCACATTTAATGCAGCTAAGAAAGATCAAAAAGGAGAATCATTGTTGAAGACAAGAAGCTGAATTCGCAATCATCAGTGACCTCTCCATGTTGCCAAGTCGGTTATTGTCACTAGACAAGATGACAAGTTCAGAGGCCACAAGCAATACAGTAACTAAAAATTCCCAAGTAAAGTCCTGTTACGCTACGCATTCACTTTAAACTTTATAATGAAGCCCAGCAATTTTAGCAAAAAGTCAGAACCACCCTTATCAATCTACGACATCTCTCGCACCAAAATGGACGTATGTGGGTCAATTCATTGACTCATGACGCTGCTTTTCGGATGCACATTTGATCGAAAGTTTTGGTCGAGGACCCCCAGTCGTTCTTCTGTCAATTGTGGGCGCCGTGGTAGTATATCAGTCCGACCCCCAAACATGATTCACACAAATAATAATCCCATCCTGTATCGGCCGTCGCGCAGTGACCTTGGGAAAACGGTCGCCTTATCTGCTGCATACAGTGGGGTGGATAAGTGAAAAAATGCCACCGCCACCGCCTCTCCTCTTTCCTCTTCCTTTGTACATACTCCCACTCTCCGCATTTCACCTAACCCACTTCTTCCTCCAAACCAGGTGACGCCGCGTGTGATCGTCCGCCACCGCAATCTTATGCCTTCGCACAAAGCGCTCAACATCCGATGCTGAAACGTGCGCACACTACTCGACAAGAACACGAGTGAGCACCCACTACAGCGCGTTGCTCTGTTGATTGTGTGCTACGGCGTCGATATTGCGGCACTCAGCGAGATAATATATATATATATATATATATATATATATATATATATATATATATATATATATATATATCACTTGCTCAGTAATCACTTGTCAGATGGCCACGACACTTGAGTAACAACGACAAAAAAAGAAAAGAGAGTCAGGGGAGGGGAGGCGAAGTTCCATGGTCTGAGTGGGCATTGAGCTTCCCGGTTGTCCAGGCCGAGGAAGAGGGTTGACTTAAAGAATCCCGCACGGATGCATAGATCCTAAAGACACGACCTGCAAGGCAGCAGGGCGATTACGTAGACCGTTGATAGCCAAGTGGCTCATTCGCATTCTTTGTGTTCGGTTGCAGTCCACAGAGCAGCCAGTGGCCAGCAGGGTTGTTCATCCGCCCTCTGTTAGATACTCAACTCCAGTTACAGAAGTGAGTGATCAGTGACCCTATAGCCGGTCACATTCGCATTGACACAGCGGCGTACGAGCTTTTGTGGATTTGATAGAGGCAGGTGACCAGTCCAGAACTCCCCACTCTCTGAGACGCCGCTGATGACTGTCCGCGACTGCAATGCAGACGAGACTTATTCGCAGTTGCCTCCACAAGGAAGACATTCCTCAATCCGCAACCTGGGGACGCGCCCGATATCGTACAGCTGCGCCACGGGGAGGCATGGTTTGGTTTGGATGGCATTAAGTCATCAACAGTTCGCCGGTACGCAGTACCGACGTTTCACTGCCGCGCAACCACCATCATTCGCGCGTGTACTGAGAAGGTCGCCCGGTCACCTTCGCACACTCGAACCCGCAACCATAGGATTACAAAGTAGGCTTGTCCTCCTTAAGGTCAAGGTTCGGCCTGGAGATTTCAAATTGTCAGCGACCACTAAGTGCGCAGACCCGTGTTTATTTGCTATGATTAGGTCAATTAGTTAAACTAACGAATGTCTTAATTGATTTCGTTCACATGAGTGTGCTACATGCGTGCCAGTCCACTAAATATCGGGAGCTTTGTTTTCCCTACTTGTTGATGAACAGCTTAAGGTTCGAGTGAGGCAATCATCCGCTTAGTGGAGGTAAATGGAACGGATAGCAGCCAGTTTGCATTCTGGTAGCTCGGCTCATGTTCCGCGCCTGGGTTCTAGTGACCCATTCTGTGCTTGTCTAAAGGCAATAAATTGCTGGCAACTGACACTAGTCGGTCGTTTAAGTGAAGGTAAGCGACACGTCATAGGCAGGCAGGATGCCAATCAGTCACTGCAGACGCGAAGTGATCACGCTTGGACAAGCCAAAGAGAGTAATCAGGATTGGCTCAGCCTAGACGGAACGAAGCATTGATTTATCATAAACAACGGTGGAGCGAATTGATTGGAGCAAACGAGAGTGGACGAAGCATGCGCACTACCTGGAGAACTGATGCGCCCATGCATTACTCAAAGTGCACAATGCAGTCGTAGCAGATGTCGATTGAAATGAGCAGAAAGTACGAACCACTGCATGCAGACAACAGAAGACACGAGAATGAAAAGTAAGCAATGTGAAGCCGTTGCAAGCAAACAGCGCCCCCAGTTTACGTCCAGTATAAGCGACATTTTGTTTTACTAATATTTGGTTCTGGTCATTTTCCAGACTTTGCTTTGACCCCTAGAGGGCTGCACGACACTCGCGACCTACTCAGTGCTTGTGAGCAGACTGAAAAATGCATCGCTCGCAACTAACACCAGCGACACAGTTGCTGTTGTCTCTTTGGATTGATAAAGACTCGAAACAGCGGTGATAACCACAAATGATAACCGGTTATGTGTCACTGCGCACCTTGCCTCCGAGTGCTTATCAGAGTATTCTGCCTTCCCATTAGGTTCCTGCTGCAACCCCATCCGCATTTCTTATGTATAAAATTACTGGGGCTGCGTTACAGCCAAACACGTACAGCTTGCTGCGACTGAGTGATGGATGATGATGATGATGATGATGATGATGAGGAGGAGGAGGAGGAGGAGGAGGAGAAGGATAAGGAGGAGGAGGATGGCGGTTGTGGTGACGTGCAAACATGTGCATTATGAATAACTCACATAACATTCAGTCACCCGAACAAGAAAGAGCACAGTAGCCGGTTGAAGCAGGGGAGATAGGGTTTACAAGGCGAAAACAAAGTAGCTATTGAACCATCCGATACTAACAAAGGCCATCGACAATAAGGTAACTTTCCAAGCGGACTACTCAGTCGTATAACGAGAAGCCATTCACAACTAGTTACTGGTAATCTATGGTACGATGGGTGCCATCTGGCACATTGAACATGTGATAACTAGCGCAAAAACTTTCGCCATGAATGCTGCAGTCGTCGTTCGAAATCCCATAAGATCCAATCATTTTATTTCCTTGGACAAAACTACCTTATGTGGTCACACTCAACACCAGTGCTCAATGGATCAGTTAGATGACGTCGTAACTGATTTCAACCGTGCATTGGATGCATCTCCTTGAATTGGGCGCTAACCAAATCAAGAGCTAATCTACCATTATTTGGGCTACGGTAGAAGCATGAGCTGTAGCCCACGTAGCTACAGTTGGTTAATTCCTTGGACACTGATAATGTTACAACTTACTCTCCATCAATTACAACAGCTTCTAGACCACTGGAAGCCAGCAGAGCTGCTGCGATGGTCGCTCCACTATCTTCACCGTAAAGAAGGACACGCGATCTGTCGGCCGAAAATAGGTGCGCGTTCTCCTGGATCCATGCGAGCGCCTCACGCACATCAGCTACTCCGTGATTTGGACTTGATTCTTGGAGTTTGAAATCGGAAAACCCGAAAACGCCCAATCTGTAGCGAATGGTCACATAGAGTATACGCAAGTCGGAAGCCAGCTGTGAAGATAACAGTCGTGGTCGGTGACTCATCAAATAGCGCCCACCAATGTACGCAACTACAGGCATTCCACGAGGGCTCATTTGGTTGCGACCACTGTCTTTGTGCCAAGGAAAGTGAAAACTGAGTGTCAGACATGCTTGTGGTTTGCCCACGGGAACCTGTACGCCAAATTTTAATTTCATTTGCGCACATTCTGATTCGTCGTCATAAGCTTGCTTGCCCAAAAATCGTATCTGACCGTCAATAAACATTCGTTTATCCTTCGAAACTCCGTGCCAGTATGCAAGGTAGCATTCCTTAAATGTAAACGGATGGGTCGAAGAAGCAAAATATGACTTCTGTTGTGGTAGTGCAGCATACGGAACGTTGTACAACGTGTACCAATCTCGAGTCTTGGATGCTTCCGGACACAGGGCTGCGCAGTTGGTGACAATGCAACTTGAAGGCAACGGCTGTCCTGATCCTGGTCTATCTGAGAGCAGTCTGTTGAGTTCGGCGTTGTGAGCAAGAGACCATGCCTTCCAAATGGCCACAGGAGCGTGTGCAACCCACAGAATCACGTACAGGATACCAATGCCAACAAGGAAACGGATGCGACCTTTTTTATTTTCTTTGCAAATACGGGTCCATTCCTCCGGAGTCGGTAGTAGTGAGCTAAGTTGTAAGTAATTTTTTACTTCTAGCTGCTCGTTAATCTCATCTTCTGCTCTGACCTCAGCACCTGGCTCGTTTTTGGCTCCTTCTTTTACGTCACGAGGCTGAACCGTCGTCGGATCCACAGACGGAGCACCGATAGAGAAGGTCGGAGACGTCACCGTGTCCATCACGTTGGCAAGCACACAGTGTGCTCGGTTATCGATTAGGCAGTGTATTTGAACATCAGCAAAATCACGTGCATTCACGCACCTATCTCACACTTCACTTTGGGCAGCTTTAAATCACTGGAACTACTGAGGGCTGGGGTATTTATATATATATATATATATATATATATATATATATATATATATATATATATATATATATATATATATATATATATATATATATATATATATATATATATATATATATATATATTCAGTCTATTAACAGACATTGTGCCATCAGAACCATGGCAGAAGAAAAAATGGAGAAGATAGAAACACGAACTACGGTTTTTAAAAATGGAAAATGCTTTCTTTTGGTTTTACACAGGCCATTTGGATTTTTGTTTTTGTTTCATGTTTTTTGTGTGCATTAAAGAGGAGATAAATGGCAGCACAACGTTGACGCCACTGATCTGTTGCGGGCCATGACATCTGACGTTTCCAACTACTGTGACTCAGCATCTCATGGTCCTTAACCTGGAAGACGGACTGGTCCGACTGCCGCCAAACTTGATGTTGACTTCTTCCTGCTACTTCTGCACGTCATTGGCTGTCCATCGCGACACTTTTCAATCGCTCCCTAGGAGTGCAAATAGCGCTGGACGTGGAAGGCGATGGGCTGGCATGCGCAAAACGTGCCCGGGTCAACGCATGCGATGTCGGAGAATAACATTCTGAAGACTGTCACTACTCACTCAAAGAAGTCGGTCTGGGACCTCTACGTTGCTTAAGTGGTGTTGCCAGCACACCCGAGCAATCCTTCGTAGACAGCGATTGTCGAAGACTGACAGCCGCTTCATGTCTTCCGAGCGAATACGCCAAGTCTCACAGCCGTACAAGAGTACTGCACGGACAGAAGCTACGTACACCCTGCACTTGAGCTTGTGACTGATATCACGACGACGCCATAGGTGTCTCAGTTTGAGGAATGCAAGGCGGGCTTTGTAATCCGTTGTGAGACTTCATCTCCAACACCGCCACCAACCGTGATGCAACGCCCTAAATAAGTAAATAAAGGGACTTGCTCCATAACATGTCTAGCAATGGTGAGCGCGGGTTCAGACATCTGCTAGTCTTGGAGCAGCGTTTTGCATTTTCCCGGAGTGAAGCTTAAGCCGTACTTAGACGCCTCCATCGCTAAGCTGTCCAAAGCGCTCCGGACGGTTTGTGGGTCGTCCCCCAGCAAGGCGATATCATCGGCGTAGTCCAAGTCCGTGACTCTGTCTCCAGGGAGGAGCTCAACACCGCAGTTCTGGACACCTTCCAGTGCTCTTTGGACGAACAAGAGTCCTCGGTACTTCGACTTCTGATTTACTTTCGCGGCTTCTGTAAGAGATTGAAGCAAAAACAAAAGCACCCTCTGTACTGGCACACAGTACAAGGTTACAGCTACGTGATACAATAAAAGTATAATAATTCTGGAAATTTTTCAGACCAACACCTAGCTAGGCCACTTCTAAAGATCTCTCCGGTGCTACGTTCTATTAATGCGAGAGGTAGCTTATTCTAGCTATTGACTACACGATTCACATAGAATTTCACCTTGATATCCAGCTTAGATCTCTGATGCTTAGGCCTCAGTTGGTGTCCTCGCAAGTGAGCTGACCCAGCTAGCTCAAACAATTCAGTTTACTGGATACCACCACTAAAACCCTTCATGATTTTAAACGTCTCTATTAGATCCCCTATTAGACTGCACAGTTCCATTGAATACAGACCTAAGCTGCTTAGGCTTTCAGTATATGGTTTGTCCCCTAGACCCTCAATCACCTTACTAACCTCTGAGGTTGGTGTTCGGGCTGAGTTGCAGTAGGTGGCGGCATATATGACCGGGATCTCACGGTATTTGCTAAACTAATAACAGGTCTCCACTTAACCGTCGGTAGCGTCCAATGAACACCACGAGTATCTTCAGGCGCTGCTGATACGGAAGCTTACGCGATCCCCTGACAAATTTCGTTGCTCGACGTTGGGGTTTCGAGCACTGATGCGTCACGCCTTAGCCAAGGTTGCCAAGCTTGGAGTACGTATTCGACGTGGGACACACGTAGGCATTGAGCATCAGAGAGAAGATGGATGCATACAAACTCCAGCACTGCGTCGTCACTGACAAGGGTCCGTGTTTTGAGTCAAAAGCGTTCCAAGCAATATTCACGAAATGAGGCATCCAAGGATGGCGCACTTTACCTTACCACTCGCAGATCAGTGAGATGGTAAAACGGTTTGACCCGACTATGACAACGTGGATGAACTGCACAAACTTGGCATGACAGTAAGCACTGTCCCTAGTAGCACTAGCTTATCGAACCAGCATGCAGTCAAGCATCAGGGTTTCGCCCTTCGAGTGGCAATTTAGCAGCAAGCTGAGAATGGCCCACGATAAGTGTTTGGCAACGGATCACGGATGCGAACATCCAGCAGCGCAGAACAGAGGATTCCAAAGTATCGCCAGAAGGGAAACAAAGTCCCGACAATTACGGAATATGCGTATAGATGATTCAAGATATGCGGCACGTAAACAGAGACGTTGCAGCCTAGGAGACCAAGTAAGGCTGCGCAATACCGGTCCACAGACACATAGAAAACGAGGTGTGAGCAAAACCAACCTTGGAATGGTCATTATACAATAATAGGCCGGGAAAGCGTGAACTACTGAATTGGCAACGGAATGTTAAACTTCGGGTGAGTACAGCTTTCTTACGATCACGGCATACAATGGAACCCCATTTTTCAGAGGGGTCGAGTACAACGGCGCGGACAAGCCGCGGAAATTACAGAAGAGGAAAACTAACGAGAGCATCAGGAACGAAACTCGATAGACCAACGTGAGGCTTACGGAACAAGCGGAAAATGATCTACGAACAACAAACAATATCGGGCCCAGAATGAGAAGAGCAGGCGAAGTAGTGGTGCAGAGCCCGATTTTCCGGAGAGATACGCCTTCGGCCACGCCTCCAAGAACAACGCCAAGGAGAGTGACACAACCACGATTAAACTAGTCAAGAGAGAACGAATACATCCTGGTCAGATCACGACGAGCGGAAACGAGGATAAGATGGCAAATCGCTCAAAAAGGGTTCGGATGGATCGACTGATATGGGGCATGAATATGCTGCCGTGCGAAAGGACAATGCGTGGTGCTTGGTAGATTGAAATTATCTACCATACGTACACACGTGCGTGATGGCCTGTGAACCAGTTGTGTGCTGGCGTCCCTAGCACCCCGTTCTCGCTACAATACGAGGTCTACACGTAGCCGCCGGAAGCGTCCAACGAACAGACCGAGTGACTTAACTCGCAACAACCCACTCCAGTACACGTCAAAACTGCGACCTGAACACGAGATGTAGGGACTGATAACCAAAGCTTTTACCATCACAACAATTTTTCTTTACCGTTCAGTGCCTATTATCTATAGCAAAGTCGTCCAAATTTAATCTTTATAAATTGTTATGTAGATTTATGCGCATACGTACCCAGTTTTTGATACTGTTGATTAACCGACAGCGTTAGTAGACGCTAGGTACGGTTTTCCTGCGTCATCCACAAAGATTGCAATGCACTGCTGATTAGGCTGACACGAAGCAGTACGTGCCTCTATGGCAAACACCTCAGAGATCTGTCCCTGTCGAAGGGTGAAGTTCGTACTGCTAACCGCCCAACAGCATCTGCGCTACATACTTCGAAACTAAAGAACACCCTAAGAGGGCAAGCCACATTCGGCCTATCTGCTAATAACCCATCCCTAGATACCACATCTGACAAGTTGGTCACGGAGCCTGATAACATATGGATCAAGGGCCTCGATAAAAATGCCAGGAGAGACATCCCAACATGCATTTTCTGGACAATAGACTAATGATTTTATACGGGTAAAAAAGCTAGTGCTTTACAGGTCCCGTATAATGGTTACAGTGAAACTTCAAAATCTATAAAAACTCTTGGCAAAAGTTAGATTTACACTAGTGGACTCATTAAACTATACGTAGTATAGACCGTAAACCCAAGGCAGATCCATGAGAAATGACAGGAAATGGGTTGCTGGTAAAAAAACATGTCTCCTTCTAGTGTACACATACAGGACGTGAATAACGTGGAACGAAATTTGACATTTGACCGCAAGTGAAATCTCGTACAGACAATTGTGTTTATCCATGGGTTATGGGTTATGTAAGATGGTGCAGCGCAATAAGTGCACGGTCAACTCGAGCTTTGAACTCTACCAGCGTGGGAGCACATATCACAGATTCCGCTGCGACATCCCACGTTCTACAAACGCGTAGGCAAAAGAAATTCCGACGACATTCCAAACGACTGTGCTGCTCTGCCAGTTTGCGATGGTGGCTTTTCAAATTGGTGTTATGGCTAAGCGCTGGCAAATGGCGGCACATGTGGTTGGTATCTCTCAAAATCTGGTAAGCCAAAATGTGGTCCGCGCGCAATCGCCAATCCGGTGCGCTGAAGACCCCGAGCACTTGAATTCTTCGTTCATACGGCAAACTATACAGAACAATGGCATTCTAAATTGCCTGGCGTTGGGGCATCTCCAAGACGATGAGATCTTTCCTCAGCCATGGTTGGCAGACCAATATTGTGTAACTTATATGTGGCCTCACGTATGAACCGAGAACTTGTGGAAAATCTGAAGGGTCGAATCGTCCGAATGCACCCTTCAGGAGGCGCACATGTTGGATGCACTTCCTAGACGACGTTTCAGTCTGATTCGAACATCCAAGGTCGACCTGGACAAAAAGCCCAGATACTTCTCGCCGGAAGACGTTTGAAGCTCCCGGTTGTCAAGTTTGTAAGAGTACAGCAACTTGTGCCATAGGTGCAGCACTCCACATTTGTCCCCAATGAATAGAAGTAGATGCTGGATTGATCACGCGTATACCCTGTCCAGACCAGTTTAAAGTACTGTGATATCATCCGGTGTATTGATAGCTCTCCACAACTTGATGTCACCGGCGTAAAAAAGGCAGTTCGAAATTATGAGGCCCATGATATCGTTAATATACCTCA